AGACATTTATGCGTTGCCTGCGGTTAAACTTTTTGGGGTACGTATTTGGATATATAACGCACTTTCGCCGGTTATTTTTAAAGTAAAGTAAACTAAATTCAAAGTCAGCTTTTTAATTAAGCTTATTTCATAACATTCCAGACTCTTTTTAATGAGGCCTGACCTAGTGAAAAGTGAAAGAATATAAATTTCGCATTTATGGTATATAACGAAGTACAGTTCTGACGAAAAATAGTCGGGTACTGATACCTCCCAAGTGTTATTTGTATATTTTAAACGTCGAAAATAATAAATAAGAATGGTTAACTAATGTTTGCTTGTGACAAGCAAATTGTGAAATATAATTTAAAATCTGATGCTATAATTTTGAAACCTTGTTCTCTTGCCACGCACCCGGGGGAATATAGTTCCACTAATGTATGAAAAATACTAAAAAACAGATTTTTCTGGAAACTTTGAATAACGAACTTGAGCCTGCAGTATGCTATCAGAATATCATGAATTTATAAATCACATTGTATATTAATCGGTTAATATTCAGATATAATTTTATTGTGGTCCTTTTATCGCCCACTGAATTATTGTCGAATGTGGGGGTATTGTGTTTCAAGAAGCAAACCTATCATGTTTTGGTTAATCTTAGGTGTTTACGCTGTCGGTTAGGCTTTTAGTATCAATAGACGACTATATTTTTCGAGGTTGTAGTTTTTTTAATCGAGTGCTTTTATGTGAGGCTTTCACAAATGCGTTCATGTTATATGTCTAATTTCTATCTTATCATTTGCTTTTCGAATTTTTGTAGTGTTCAATTTGATTTATTCTTCAATTATTTACTGATCAACTAAAACGCCGTCTCAGGTCAACGAAAAGGGACTTTTCTGAAAATGCTTTCTTCTCAAGCTCAGGGCACTGCCTGTTGTTAGGACTTAGCAAGAATTCTTTAGATGCATATCCCAGTTCAATACATTTTTCGTAAGCTGAATCTTTTTATCATCAGGCAAAGTGCATACACTCCAAGCAGTTTGCCTTTTTCATCTTTCTATCCATTACTGATACCAGGTTTTTGTTGATTATCCACCTAAAATTTGTGTTAGAAAATTCTGAATTGTTTGACAAAGATCTGCAAGGACTTATGCATTGACAATCTGTTCACCGACGGCTGACTTCTGTTCAAAGAACAAAAAATCTGTTGCACAGTAATCGCTTTCTTTGAGACGTGTTTAAGTTATTTTTAGATATTGTCTTTCCCATTATCAGCACTAGTTTCTTTGGCGGGGTTTGTGGATTTGAAACTGGAATAAAACATATGCCGGCATATTCATTTTTTCGGCCCGACATTTCGTTTTCTTTGATCTGCAGGTAATAGAAAATTAATTATAATTTAATATTTTGAAAATATGTCAGATGACCCCAGATAACGGATCAACGATTATTTAAATTGTAAGCATTAACCGAAGGCTAATCGAATAAACCGAGCACTAGTTCATAACAGCGCGAACTTATGAGACACCATATTAATTTTACAAATAAAGGCATAACCGGAATTTTAAGATGCGATCAATGAAACGATAAATTTTTTTGCCTGACATTTCGGATTTTGACGAGAACTTCTATCTAACTTATAAACGCAAAGAACACCGAATTTAAAATACTTCATGAGGATTTTTCACAAAAAGTTTATATCTGTGCATAATTTATGTTTGCATATCATATTACACTTCTTCGGCAGCAGATATATAAATGCATCCAAATAATGTAAAATCCAAAGTCATATTAGAATATTAGAGCTTTCTGCAGAACGTGGAGAACGATTATTTATTTACGCCTATCGCTTACTTACTATTAATGGTGCCTGATCTCAAAGACAATATATGTTCTAAATGTAGTTACTACATTTACAATATTGTGCCACACGTTCCATTAAGCAAGCGTTCGATTACTGGAAGCGGATATCTGTGTAAGGATTCCTCCTCTAATATGATCAGTCAAACACGAATATACCAACGCGAGGGCCAGCAAACCGTGAGGTAGGGGAAAGATTTACTTTTGGCTTATGGACATAAATCATTCGCAGATTAAAAGATACCTTTGGTTATTGAGAATAACTGAGCTCGAACGATATAAAAAGGGAATCGTGCAATGCAGTTATGGGCATTTGAGTTAACTTAGATATTTAAAGAAACAATTATACGCTAACTGCGATATGCAAAAGACAGTTACACCTGTACGGATGGCATTAACTGGACCTTTTTTCCTTCACGAGCCATTGTTGACTAGGTAAAAATATTCCTAGCTATGAAGCAGACCCTCGGTCACATTTTATCTAGATTAACAGATAACATATATGCGTTTAATCGATTAGACATAAGTAATTAATTAGTAACAAGTACTTCACACCAGCTCATGCAGCCTAAATTTGAACATGCATGTGCATTTTGAAAGTTTTTGATCAAGAAGCAATAGTAAACGCCACGCACCCTTAAAAATGCGTGCGGACTGCTCAATATATTGTGCGACACTATTATACCCCTTAAAGCTTAGATTTACCAACCGGTTTTAGCATAACACTTCCCGCCATTCACGGTTATATATAATTATCAGTTAATCTTAAGTGTTCAATTTAACAAAATCATCCTGCAAATGAAGATAATTTACGTGATATAATGCAAGAAAGAGGAAGGTTTTGGCGTTAATTATGTTTGCATTAATATTCGCGCAGCCTGATTGGTCATGGATTACATAGGTGGTTTCAGTGTCATCACGTATCCATTCATGTAGTTTATTCTATGCTATTTAAAGCAGACAAATCCACTCTTGTTGTCCAATCAGTTTGCTGGCTCTCCAGACATTTTGGAGTCCAAGTTGGTCGTAAAAACTACGGCATATTTTTGGACACTTAAATCTTTTTTCAAAATAAATATGCCCACTGGGTACATTTAAACTTTGTAGAACATGACATGTTTAATAAAATTTAGAAGTGAATGGTGTGTAACAGTTGATAAGCTGATAATATTTAAGCATTTTCATATATTGTGGAAAGCGCTTGCCGCTTATCGGTTACGTGACGAGTAGAAATCAATGGTTGTGAGGTATCTTCTAAAAACTACGGGACGTTTTGACTATGATTTCTCGCCAGTTTACCACTTTCAGTCAGTAATTATCGGACGACGGATCACACCACTTTTCACGTTAATTCCATAATAAGGACTTAAATAAAGACATATACTGTGCATTAATTTGAAGAATGCCGAACAGCAAACTTGCGCTAAGATTCAGCTTGAGAATATAAGAAAACGTTCTCTTCAATAACGAGAATACTATAGACATAAGTTGCCTATTCGCTGCGAAATAATGTGTTGTTTCAGTACCCACAGTTACTCCTCGCTCTTCATAAGTATTCATATGTTGAAACAACTGTATAAAATGAAGGTAAACAAAGCGGCTTATTGCCTGGCACCCGGTCTCCAGTTAACAATATGACCTTGCTAGACACAAGCTTTGATAATCCACGGTCTGCAATGCCGTGGGTTTATGAGATCGCTGCCTCGGTCGGCTCATCTGCAACTACTGGGAAGACCACATTGTTATTAGGTTGCACCCCTGCCAAAAAGGAAGGTGCGCTTGGGGACTAACTGGCATCATAATATTATAATATTATCAAACACCGGGGGAGAGTGCTGCTGAATAGACAGAGAAAGGACGACGCTCTTTAATAGTTGAGTCACCTGGTCCGTTTTCGTAAATACTTCGGCACCACATAGGATAGAAGGAGTTCAACTGCAGTGTCGAGAGGATCCACGTGTACCATGCATCCGTCCAGGCAGTCCTCACTTACTTTAGCGAATGCTTACCTTTTCGCAAGAAAAATAAGTAGCAGCAACCGGTATTTAATCACTGTTTTCTGTGATCCAGCTCTTGAGTGAACTATGCTGAATTTGTCTCTAGTGAGACAGTGCGCACTTGCTGCGACGGTATCACAACGATAAATTCGTCGTTTGCTTCACGGTCTGCGTTCAATCCGACGTCTCAGCCCACCTGGAGGCGTCGGAAATGCGAAGAATCTAAGACTTGCCTCGAAACTGTTCGTCAAGGCATTGAAGCGGATCTTGGATCGTCGATTATCGGTCTTCGTCACCGGAGAACCATATGGGTGCAGATATGCGCTGCCGAACATCGTCACATGTGGAGAGGTACCGTCGGTGACCTCACTAAGGCTGGCTGGATCAGGCCTGATGACAACCCTATTTAGTGCAATTACCGCCGTGGCTTTAGTTCCGTCTGCAGAAAACTGATTTTCCAGATCTGTGCACACGCACGTCCGATGGTAGTACCGTTGTATGTGTTTTTCGACTGATAATTCGTCAGACACAACAGCTTGTTACGTTTATGGCCGACTGTGTGTGCGCCAATCAGCTCAAAATTGGGTTACCAGGAAACCTTAGTATTGCGTTGCTTCCCAAGTCTCAGTCAGTCAGAATAAATACACGCACAGGTGATGCAGGATGAATCGCTTTAATATTCGGCTGTCATCTTCAAACAGGGTGACGTTAGTTGTGATCAACCTAACCCACTTTTGCCCCTGTTTACCTTCAGTTTTCTCATTTGGCGGCCTCTATTACAGCAATGTAACTCGCAGAAAAATGCCTCAGCAGCCTGTCGCTTGTTAAAGGACTCACTTTTAGCTAATTATACGAATCTACTTAATGTACTCGACATGACTGGTTCCCTTACCAGCTCGTCAGCTCCCAACAGATTTGCTTTCTCTTTCTCCGGCTTGTAGGCATTTTCATTGCCCTGGGTCTTTCCAGCGTCATAGCGTGCCTTCATTACGCCCTAATGGAGGGTTACTGGGAGACCTTGGCCGATTTAGTCCTCGGTTGGCTTGTGCTGATGGCTTTTCTCTTCATCTTATTAGCAGTGATTTATGCCATGCGCATACCCGAATGTCTCTAACCCGGAAAATGTGATAGGTAGGTAAGCATGATGAATCAAAAGAGAAAAACAAACTTATTTCCTGCGTGTTTAACGTCTTCCCAATTGCAATATTTGACTGAATTACGCTCGCATGAGTAAGACATCAGACAGAACAAGAGAAAATTAGTGATAATGCCCTCGATCCCACAGCTTTGTACATCTAGAGGCGTTAACATCGACATCAGCATAACACCTAGTTCCGCGCCGTTCGCCAAGACGTGAAAGCAATTCTTGCACCACCTACATTCGGTCTCCGCCATTATATTTGAAACTCTATACAGCTCTTAATATCTACTGCCGACAAGTGACCGGCGCAGAGGAATACAATCCGTGAGCCGGCCATATTATGAAGTTTAACGAGGAGGAAATCCTTGTGAGCTGTGTGCTGCTCGAGTCATCGTTCTCAGGCCCCCAGTCCATCAACAAGTGCAACGATTTGCCGTTCTCATACTGCGTACTGAGACATTGCCTGAGCAGGAGAATCAGTCACGTGGGAAGGGCCTGGCCCAGCGCCAACAACTCTGACGACAACAAACATAATTCCCCTGCAATTATCAGGGCCACATCCGACACGGACAACGAAATCGCGGCAATAAATGACCCGAAAGTGAACTGCCAAGTCGTCACGCAACAATTACCACCCAAATTGTTAGTTACATGAGCTCCTAATTACAGTACGCATGCGGTCCCCTCGCCGCTACCACGCAAGCTGTGCATGTATCACCCCATTCTACGATTACCTACGTCAGTAAAATAATATTCTTGTTGCAGTGATCCCATCTTCTTCTTCTTCGAATGCGCTTGCTAAAACTAGCGTATTTACTTCTATCGGAAGTCCGTGAAATCATTGACACCGGCTAGATTACGTATGACCACAGTCGTATCAAATGCAAGTACCCACGGTTAACATCGAAGAAAAGCGTGACGCTAACATTGTTTGTTGAACATCATTTATATTTTACTATGCATTTTCTTGTGTAACATTTTCCATTGATACTTTCACTTTTTTGCATTACTTTTTGACTGAGAATATAACAAAGCATGTTCATTTGGCGCGTGAGCGCAATCAATCTTATATTTCGACTTCAGCTACTTATACAAAAGAGTTCAAGCTGGATGGGATCGTCTCTTTATTTTACGACAGTCTGATAGCAATAAAAGATAATTGGTAGTATTGCGCATGTTACCAGGGCTTGGGTGCAATTCGCAATGAAGTTTTTAAAAAATGCGGCATATTTTTTTCATATGGCTTATTTAAGTGATATCAGTTAACCTTTTGCGAAGTTGTATATGCTCTTTGAAATGTGCGGTACAAGTAGAATATTTTTTTTCGAAAAACATCGTGCGTGAACCACTTTTCTGCCGAAAACGTCGCAGTTGGCCTGTCTTTGTGGTACTCGTAAAGTGCTGCCTTAAGGGTATACGCAATCGAATGCATACATTACTTTTAG